CCCTCCTACCCCCTCCTCCTTCTCCTTCTCCTCTCTTCCCCTCAATTCTTCTTTCCTCTTTCCTCACTCCTCCCTTCTCCTCCTCCTCCTCCTCTTCCTCTTCTTCCTCCTTCTCCTCCTCTTCCTCCTCCTCCTCCTTCTCTTAGTCTTCTCCCTCCTCCTCCTCTCCTCTTCTTCCTCCTCCTCCTCCTCTTCCTCTTCTTCCTCCTCCTCCTCCTCCTCTTAGTCTTCTCCCTCCTCCTCCTCCTCTCCTCTTCTTCCTCCTCCTCCTTCCTCTCCTCTTCCTATTCCTCTTCCTTCTCCTCCTCCTCCTCCTCCTCCATATCTTCCTTCTTCCAGAATTTACGAGAGATGATTGCCGGGGGGAGGGGGAGGGGGGGGGGAGAACCAAGATGGCGACTCAACCCAGGGAGGAATATTCAAGTTAATTTTAATGATGATTATGATAATACAATTAGGAAAAGTGATTTGGGTAATGATGATATTAAGAGAATTATTATAGATAAGTTAATGAGAATATAATTAGAGGATGCTGTGATAAAAAAGGGACAAGAAAATATGTATTTTTGTCCGGCACGTATTGAACCAAAAAAAAAAAGGTAAATGAAAATAGAAAATTAGGCAACTTGTGATTCTTTAAATTTAGTAATATATCTCAAAATGTATAAAGAAAAAAAAGAAGAAGCTCCTAAACTTAATGAGAATATAATTAGAGGATGCTGTGATAAAAAAGGGACAAGAAAATATGTATTTTTGTCCGCCACGCGTCGTACCAAAAAAAAAAAAAAAAAGATAAATGAGAATAGAAAGTTAGGCAACTTTTGATTCTTTAAATTTAGTAATATATCTCAAAATTTATAAAGAAAAAAAGAAGAAGAAGAAGCTCCTTAATCAATTTAAAAAGGGGGAAAATCTAAAGCGTTCACTGAAGGCTCGAATATTCGTGGAAATCTTTTACAATACGTTCGGTTCTCTAATTAAATTTTTGCCACCCTTGCTCTCTCCCTCTCTCTCTCTCTCTCTTTTATGCCGCCCCTCTTCTAAGGTAAGGATAAAAATCCCGTGTGATCTGCCTTTAATAAAATCTATTTCTGAATTTTTTTTCTTTCTTTCTTTCTTTTTTTTCTGTTATAGATTAGTTTTTCTTGTAGTTGTTTCTTCCATTTTCATTCTGTGTCTGTCTCTGTTTTTTTGTTGGCTATCTGTCTATTCTGTGACCTATCTGTCTCTATCTGTTTGTCTGTCTGTCTCTTTATCTCTCCGCCTGTCGTTTTATCTATCTGCCTCTTTCTATCTATCTGTTTATCTGTTTGTTTCTTTATCTGTTTGTTTGTCTCTTTATCTGCCCGTCTATCTGTCTCTTTATCTGCCTGTCTGTCTGTCTCTTTACCTGTCTATCTGTCTCTTTATCTGTCTTTCTCTTTACCTGTCTATCTCTCTCATACATCCGCCTGTATTACTCGACTATGTTCAGCCTCGCGTTTCATTTTATTTCGGATCGAGGCTTGACATCATGTGGTGTCATATACATGTCTCAGGTGCAATGTGCTCTGTGTATTCTTATATGTGTATGCTATATCAACTCTAATAATGATTATTATTGTTTTTATTAGAATTTTTTTATCATTGTCAGTGATATTATTATTATCATCATCGTCATTATCAGCAGCATTATCACTGATAATGATAACAATGATGATAATCAAAATGATAATAATTACTATTACTATTATTATTAATGATATTAACATCATTATCATTGTTATTATTATTATCATCATCATTATTTCGATATCTTGCACATCGTATTCAACCTTTGAAAGAAAAAAAACAAACACACTATTTTTGGATATATATGGATATTGATACTGTCTCTTGTCTCAACTTTTCTTCCTCCACCATTTTCCACCCAAATATCCTTCCAGTGTCAAAATATCCACTTGAAAAAATATCCACTCATCTCTGAAATCCTCACACTAAAAAAGATTCCATTTCTGAAACTCCCCCTTTGAAAACTTCCATTGTGGACGAGTCTGTGCTGTTTCGCGAAAAAAAAAACTTACATTTCTGAAACTCCCACTTTAAAAAGTCAGCTTTATAAACTTCCTTTCTTGGAACTCCCACTTTAGAAACCTCCTTAGTGGATGAGTCTGTATCGCTGTATCCCGAAAAAAAACTTCCAAACTGAAACATCCACTTTATAAACTTATAAACTCCCACTTTAAAAACTTCCTTTTCTGGAAATGTCACTTTAAAAACTTCCATTGTGGATGAGTCTGTATCGCTGTATCCCGAAAAAACTTCAATTTCTGAAACTGCCACTTTATAAACTCCCTTTCTTGGAACTTCCACTTTAAAAACTTCCATTTCCGAAACCCCCTCTAAAAACTTCCATTTCCGAAACCCCCCTCTAAAAACTTCCATTTCCGAACCCACGCCCCCCCTTCAAAAACTTCCATTTCCGAAACCCCCCCTCTAAAAACTTCTCCCCTTCCCCCAGCTACGACGCCAGATCCCGGACGCCGAGAGAATGGTCCGACAGCAACTTCTTCGGAGATCGCGCCACGTACGAGGCCGCGGAAAGCCCACCTTACTTGAGTGTCACGGACATCAAGGTTACGGACGAGGGAATGTACGAATGCCGTATGGACTTCCGTAGATTGCCGTCACGCAGGCACACCACGAGGCTGAATGTGGTTGGTGAGTTGCTGTGTTTTTTCTCGTTTTTAAGTTTTTAAGTTTGGTTTGTGTGTTTATGTATTTCGTTAGTTGGTTTGGTAAAGATTGGTTAATCTGTCTGTTTATGTACTTTTTTTACTTGTTTATTCATTTATTTGTTTATTTATTTGTTTTGTTATCCGTGTATGTATTTATTTACCTATTTATTATTTTTTGATTATTTTAAAAGTTTTATTACTTTTGATTTGTGAGTATGTACATTTTTTCCCCGATAGAGGTTGTGTGAGTTTCCAATTATTTTTAAATAGATTATTTATCCAATTATTCTTAATATACTTAATGACCAGTGATTTCGTAATTAGTTCGTTCGCATTTAAGGGAATCTCATGCCGTTTAAGAGTTGAATTGGAGATATCAATTTTACAACAGAGGTTCCATAAGCATTAGTCATACGACGGTCGTTTGGTCGTTAAAATCTTGTTGTTATTCTTATGATTTTGTTGTAGCTGTAAATGTTCTTATGATGTTGTAGGAACTGAGTCATTCTACAGTGGAGGGCATGTTTTCGTCTCCGTAATGAAGTTCGATAGAAGAGGGATGACTATTTAATGAATGTTTATCTTTATGAATATCTATGATGGAATGTTGGTGTTTACGACGCTATTAGGATACACTGTGGATGAGCCTGTGATGTGCCGAGAAGAAAAGACGAAACAGATAAAGAGAAATAGATCAGGGAAGTGTGATTTAAAGATATCTTATGATATTTTGTTATAGTCGGGATGGTGCTGAGAACGAGAGGCTTCGCGCGACACGAGTGAGATAAAGAGCAAAGGACCCGCCAAATAATGAGACCGTTTTAACGATTTTGGAGTTTAATAGTGGACACAGAGGCGAAGAAGTGCAACACCCGGGGATAATGGAAGGCAGGGAAGTGTGACATAGCGAGTCCTGAATGAGAGAATAAATGCCCAATAAAGCCTGAACTACGTATAATTTCTTGTGTCGATATCAGCAGTTCCATCGATCTATTCGTCCATAAAACATAGAGAGACGACCCATAACTCATACTTTACGAGAGAGGGAGAGGGAGAGAGAGAGAGAGAGAGAGAGAGAGAGAGAGAGAGAGAGAGAGAGAGAGAGAGAGAGAGAGAGAGAGAGAAACCTTGAAGAAGAAAGCAGGAGATAATCCCTACAATATATATTTTTTTTGGGGGGGGAAACGTACATTAATTATCCGAAGGCGCGTCTTTTCTCCCCCGTTAGGGCTAAACTCCTGGTTATAATGTTTTCAAACTTCAAGGCAATAAAGGGCAATTAAAACCTTGTTTACGTGAAAACAAAGTTTGCGAACCTGCCTTTAAGGAACAGCCAAGATCCTAATAACCCGAAAGCATTACCTCCTCAACTTCAGCGTGTTTTAATTAATGTTCCTCCTCACGCTGGTCATTACAAACAAGCGTGCACATAGAGCCCCGTGGCTGCTATGAGGAGAGGGAAAGAGCCGACAGATGGTCCAAGGTTTTCCAGTGAAGCAAGAGGCGAGGGGAAAGGCTTAGCAGTCTGCCTGAGGAGTTAAAGCGAGAGTTTGGTCGTGTTATGGCGACGCGAGAGGAAGAAGTGGGTGTGGGTGAGGAGAAACAGTAAACATTTTCTTGTGTGTATTGTTTATGTTAACCCTTAATTTGAGAAGTATTTAGTGATGAGAGGTATATGGTGATGGTATTATTCATAAGAGCAATGTGAAGCGGTTTCTCTTTAAGAAACACACACACTTTTACCTAGTTTATTTTCCTCGCCTTTGAATTGTCTGATTCAGATTAGTCCCCCCTTCATGCCAAACCGTTTTCTTCATTTGTATGCAAGACCTTACCTCCGTTTTCTATATCACAGTGGGTCCTTGATTTTAACAGTGAAACATATAGTTGTGCGTTATTTTTATTTATTTATTTATTTGTTTATCTGTTATCATTACTCTTATTATCATCACCATTATTTTATTTGTTTTTGCTGTTGCTATTATTATTATTATTGTTGTTGTTGCTGTTTTTCATGTAGTTTTGTTGTAGTTTTGTTATTATTATTATTATTGTTATTATTATTATTATTATTATTATTATTATTATTATTATTATTATTGTTATTATTATTATTATTATTATTATTATTATTATTATTATTATTATTATCCTCACTTTTATTACTATAACTGTGGTTATTACCATTTATGACCCTAATTATTACCATTATCATTATAGTTGTTGTTTTTGTTCTTACCATATTTGTTGTTATTATTATGATTATTGATATAATCATTATCA